GGCACACGGTCGGCGCAGCCAGGTCGAGGGGCCAAGAGCGCAGGCCGGCCGGCAGCCTACCTCGACCAGCTCGGAACACGGTCGGTGCAGGCCGTCGAGACAGCCGACCGTCTCCCTCGACCAGCTAGGCACACGGTCGGCGCAGCCAGGTCGAGGGGCCAAGAGCGCAGGCCGGCCGGCAGCCTACCTCGACCAGCTCGGAACACGGTCGGTGCAGGCCGCCGAGCCAGCCGGCCGTCTTCCTCGACCAGCTCGGCACACGGTCGGCGCAGCCAGGTCGAGGGGCCAAGAGCGCAGGCCGGCCGGCAGCCTACCTCGACCAGCTCGGAACACGGTCGGTGCAGGCCGCCGAGACAGCCGACCGTCTCCCTCGACCAGCTCGGCACACGGTCGGCGCAGCCAGGTCGAGGGGCCAAGAGCGCAGGCCGGCCGGCAGCCTACCTCGACCAGCTCGGAACACGGTCGGTGCAGGCCGCCGAGCCAGCCGGCCGTCTCCCTCGACCAGCTCGGCACACGTTCGGCGCAGCGAGGTCGAGGGGCCAAGAGCGCAGGCCGGCCGGCAGCCTACCTCGACCAGCTCGGAACACGGTCGGTGCAGGCCGTCGAGACAGCCGACCGTCTCCCTCGACCAGCTCGGCACACGGTCGGTGCAGCCAGGTCGAGGGGCCCAGCGCGCAGACCGGACGGCAGTCTCCCCTCGACTAAGTTACACGAAAGAAAAAAATGGAATTGTCACTTAAGCTTTCCGAGGGTCCCAGCCGGCAGAACTGTCTCGACCCGCTCGGCGGACAGTCAGTGCGGACCTCCATTCCTCCGATTTTGACCCCAGACTGAAGGTTCTGTAAAGGGTATATCCCAACTACCCCACCATCTGAGTTGGAATTTCGGTCAATTACAAAAGTCGCTTTTCTCCGAATTCTGACCATATCTTTCATAATTATAGGAGTTAAGAGACCAAACCTTCAGGAAAGTTTTTCTGGGGTCTGGTCTACAATCCCTGAAAATATGGTGCCCCGGGGGGGTCGGGTTCGGGAGGTATGAAAAAAGTCTACATTGTCACTGACTTGGAACTTTCCGACCTCATTGCCATTTTGATTGTATCTTTCGTACTCTTAGGCGTAAGTGGGTGTTCTTGGTATCAAAATGTTCGTCTCGACAAGAGGAAAAAAACTACGTACTACACTCCTCCCCATCATGCACAGAAATATTTCACATTGAAAAAAGGGAGTGTCACTTAAGCTTCTCTCAAAAAAGACATAATTTCAAAAATTCACTACTCGAACCCTGGGACACACAGGTCTAATTTATCCCCCCAGGATTGTAGCGCTTGTCTAGGCCTTTCTTTTGATACCAAACAGGTTAACCTACTCTAAGGCATAAGGCGTGCACTCTCAAAATGGCAATTTTACATTGAAAAAATGGAAGTCACTTAAGCTATGCGAGGGGCCCAGTTCGCAGACCAGCCGGCAGTCTCCCTCGACCAGCTCGGTAAGCAGTCGCTGCAGCCACGTCGAGGGGCCCAGAGCGCAGGCCGACCGGCAGTCTACCTCGATCAGCTCGGCAAACAGTCGCTGCAGCCAAGTTGAGGGGTCCAGAGAGCCAGGCGGTCGGCAGTCTCCCCTCGACCAAGTTGCACAGTGTCACTTAAGCTATGCGAGGGGCCCAGCGCGCAGACCAGCCGGCAGTCTCCCTCGACCAGCTCGGGAGACAGTCAGTGCAGCCAGTCGAGGGGCCCAGCACCTCGATTAAGTTGCACTGAAAAACCTGGCTGCACCGACCGTGTGCCCAGCTGGTCGAGGGGGACGACCGGACTACCTGCGCTCTTGGCCCCTCGACCTGGCTGCACCGACCGTGTGCCGAGCTGGTCGAGGGAGACGGACGGCTGTCTCGACGGCCTGCACCGACCGTGTGCCGAGCTGGTCGACGGAGACGGCCGGCTCTCTCGACCAGGCTGCACCGACCGTGTGCCCAGCTGGTCGAGGGGGACGACCGCACTACCTGCGCTCTTGGCCGCTCGACCTGGCTGCACCGACCGTGTCCCCAGCTGGTCGAGGGGGATGACCGGACTACCTGCGCTCTTGGCCCCTCGACCTGGCTGCACCGACCGTGTGCCCAGCTGGTCGAGGGAGACGGACGGCTGTCTCGACGGCCTGCACCGACCGTGTGCCGAGCTGGTCGAGGGAGACGGCCGGCTGTCTCGACCTGGCTGCACCGACCGTGTGCCCAGCTGGTCGAGGGGGACGACCGGACTTACTGCGCTCTTGGCCCCTCGACATGACTGCACCGACTGTCTGCCGAGCTGGTCGAGGAAGACGGCCGGCTGTCTCGACGGCCTGCACCGACCGTGTGCCGAGCTGGTCGAGGGAGACGGCCGGCTGTCTCGACCAGGCTGCACCGACAGTGTGCCCAGCTGGTCGAGGGGGACGACCGGACTTACTGCGCTCTTGGCCCCTCGACCTGGCTGCACCGACCGTGTGCCGAGCTGGTCGAGGAAGACGGACGGCTGTCTCGACGGCCTGCACCGACCGTGTGCCGAGCTGGTCGAGGGAGACGGCCGGCTGTCTCGACCAGGCTGCACCGACCGTGTGCCCAGCTGGTCGAGGGGGATGACCGGACTACCTGCGCTCTTGGCCCCTCGAACAGGCTGCACCGACCGTGTGCCCAGCTGGTCGAGGGGGACGACCGGACTACCTGCGCTCTTGGCCCCTCGAACTGGCTGCACCGACCGTTTGCCGAGCTGGTCGAGGGAGACGGACGGCTGTCTCGACGGCCTGCACCGACCGTGTGCCCAGGTGGTCGAGGAGGACGACCGGACTACCTGCGCTCTTTGCCCCTCGACCTGGCTGCACCGACCGTGTGCCCA